ATAACATCAGGGGGACAGGAAGCCGGCAGGAAGCCAGAGTGTGGGCTGGGGAAGTGAAACCGCCTTTTAATACGCACGGCAAGAAGCATAGCGGGGGGGCGGGGGGTCTTAGCAGGAGTCAGAGGATATAAACCACCTTACGAACTCCCCCGTCCATTTTTTAATATGTTTTTATTGATTTCAGAGAGAGGAAGGGAGAGGGAGAGGGAGATGGAAACATTGATGAGAGTCAATGATCGGCTGCCTCCCGCACGCCCCCTGCTGGGGATCAGGCCCGAAACCCAGGCCTGTGCCCCGACCCGGAATCGAACCCTGACCTCCAGGTTCATGTGTCGACGCTCAACCGCTGAGCCACGCCGGCATTTTTAATGGTAAAATACACAGAATGTAAAATTTATCATCTTACCCATTTCGAAGTGTACAGTTCAGGGCTGTGAAATGCTGCGTTCAGAGTGCTGTGGAACCGTCACCACCAGGCATCTGCACAGCCCTTGTCTTCTTGTAAACTTGAGCCCCGACGCCGGTGCTCCCGTCCCTTCCCCACCCCAGCAGCGCCGTTCCACTTCCTGCCCCTGTGATTTTCGCTGCTCTAAAAACCTCATCACGCCCTCGGGTCCCCCTGCTGTAGCCTGCGTGGGAACGTCCCTCCTTTCCGAGGCTGAGTGATGTCCCGTCGACGTGGATACACTTTGCTCACCCGCTGACCCGCTCATGAACACTGGGGCTGCTTCGGCCGACTCGCCAGCGCCAAGATGCGGCCCGAAAAGATCATAATTTGACGTGTGAACCAAGCTGCCAACATTGAAAGTCTCCAAATAGACTATTTCTCATTAAATCATTAATATTTTTAATAACTAACCGAGAGTTTGGGTAACTCTTATCTTTAGAGCAGCTTCGTCCAACAGATGTTCTTGACATTCCCAGAACCAAAGTGGTTTTGTGTGTGTGCGTGTGTGTGCGTGTGCGTCTGTCTGTGCGTGTGCGTGTGTTTATGCGTGTGTTTGGTTTCTTTTGGTTTATCCTCAGCTGAGGATATTTTTCCCATTGCTTTTCAGAGCGAGTGGAAGGGGGAGAGAGAGAGGGAAACATCGATGATCGAACCTGCAACCGAGGTACATGCCCCTGGTCAAAATCGAACCCGGGACCCTTCAGACCGAGGGCTGATGCTCCAGCCACTGAGCCAAACCGGCCGGTGCACTTCGTGAACTCTCAGCTCCTTTGTCCCCTCTTCCTTCCTTTTGTTCCCTTTTCCCCTTAAAACATATTCACGTTTGCCACCGACTTCTTTGTCTTCAGTGTTATCATTATTTGGGAATTTGTTTAGGGTCTGCTGGCCCCCGCGTGTCAGGCACAGCGTCACGGAGCACAGAGACGGACAAGGCCGGGGCCCTGCCCTCCAAGAGCTGACAGCCCCCCAAAGTGCTTGGGAGGGTTTGCAATAATTGGCAGATTTACCCCCACATGCTTTTGCCTGTCTTCTTTGCACCCCCATTTCCCATTTCCGCTTCTCAGCCCCTGGTCTGAGCATCCCTTTTTCCCCTCGGGAGACGCAGGACGGGAAAGAAGATGGTTTTCCTGGCTCTGGATTTGAAGTGTCTCCTTCCTGTCTTAACAGAAGGTAATTTTGTATCTTTGGTGCCTGTGTCTTTCTTTTCCTTCCTGACCTGAGAATAAAGCTCAGGGCCACTTTGTTTCTCTGTGTAACCGTTTAATTAGAATTGGCTAAAATGAAACACGCCCACTCATTGGAGAGAAAGCGGGCACTGCGTCAGCCTCCTAATGCCCTTTTCGCCACAGGGAAAGTTCCAGAAGCTTCCCGGGAATTGGCCTGCGTTGCTGCGGGCGCACCTTGCCCTCTCCCCCACCTGGCCGCCCTCCCTGAGTCCCGTCTTCCTCCCCCTGCCCGCTAACTGCCTCCTGTTGTGACTTTGTTCTATCTCTTTTATTTTGTTACAAAACCCTTTCTGGGTTGATTCTGACAGCGACCCC